ACCAAATCCATAGAGTTAAATTGCAATAAATTACTTCTATCATACATATCAAATTTGTGCTCGCAAACAGAAAATCCAGAGTTTGGATGACGATTTTCAAATTCTAAATGCAACTTTAAAATTGAAACTTCGAAACAGAAGGTTTTGAATAAATCACTAACTGACGCTCATAATTAACAAGGACAATGACTACATTTGATTTACTAGGGAAAATACACTGCCCTTCATCTAAAAACTGTCCAAAAATTTCTAATAGCACAAAAATAAGAAAATGGTGTTAATTTACAAATGTTAATCTGTTGTGTATGCATGTTTGATACGCAATATTAAACAAGAGTGAAGAAAACCGTGAACAAGATTCGAACTTTTTTCTTTCCTAATGCTGTCCAAGGTCTAGCTATGTCCAACCTTGAAATCGAAACGTATCAAGATGTGTAGTATTTTATAGTGAAGCAAGTTTATTCTGTAACTCCTTGGCATGGCTGGTCATTCCACCAATTGAATAAGCTTTTATCATGGTTCTATAAGTAATCTTATCAGGCTTACATCTTCTTCTCTCCATAATCTCAAGCACCCCTTTCATCTTAGCATAGCATCCCATAATCCCATAAGCATCCACTAAGCAGTTGAAAAACACTGTGTCAAGCATAACATCTGAATTATCGATGTATCGAAGAACAGCTTCAATTTTTTCAACTTTCCCAGCATTCCCATAAGCTCTCACAAGTGAACAAAGAGTAACGTAATTTGGTTTTATCCTCTCAGACTGCATCAGCCGAAACAAAAATTCCATCTGTTTCAAATCCCTGGCTCTACCAAATGCGTCTATAACTATATTGTAAGTTACCAGAGTCCACGAGAAGTGATATTTCTGCATATATTCCATCACAGCACTCATTTTCTCATAATTTCCAGTTTTCCCATAGGAATCTAAGAGTATGTTGAACGTCTTGATGTTCGGTTCAATCCCAGCACTCTGAAATTTCTCATAGCACTTTTCCATCATATCTATTTGCCCGCTGCCACCAAAAGCTCGCAAGGTGGAGTTCATGGTCCATGCATCAGGTTCACATTCTTGCAGCCGAAGCATTTGTACAAGAGTTGATTCCATCTCTGTGAACCTATAAGTAAAATAAGACAATAAACAAGTTCCCTCAGTTACTACTACCACACCANTTTCCCTTTGATTCGAGTACTTTCAAACACATTGATCAGCGTTGGTTTCAAAAATATTATAAAGGTACTAGCCCTTAATTTATGCGACAGATTACGGACCCAATTTTATCATTCCCGTAGCTTCTTCCTTTCATCAAGGAAGCATAATCTCATAATTTATAATCAACAAGTCAATAGAAAAGCGGGTTACATCAGTTAAGCTCGACTATTTTTACCCTATTATTTAATTAAGTTAGATACATCTAACAGCCCTCTGTTACATTTATCCCAATTCAGGTTCAGCAGCTGCTCATCTCCTCTAATATCCAACCAATTCCACTTCACACTTTTGCCACCCAATTTATTCGTGACCCTTCATCACATTATACCAGCATAACACATGTACAGCTCTAAAAAGAGTATGCATATAGTATTCTCTGATTCAATGCAATGCTCATGCCCAACTAGTGACACTCTATGAAGAGAAACGCTACATGTATAAAAATCGTTTACATATTGTTTGATAGATTGCCAGCTGCAAGCATTCACCGTATGTTGGACGCAAGACATTGTTAGAGAAACCAATGCAGTGTTGTCAACTCATCATCCATAATTTCTATCAGTACAAACAGCTTTATTCCTCTATTAAACATATATAGTGCATTTTCTGGGATGCACACCCAACAATGAAAGACTAGACAGTATAATAAGCAAAATGTTAGCTTATTCTTTCTTAATACCATATCCAATCCTCCCTACCAAACATGCCCTTAGTCCACATTTTTTACCATCTTCCACAGATTATATTGCCCTTTTTCCCAGCCACCAATACCTATTTTCATCATCACATTGGTAAAGCCGCAAATCTCGACTTAAAATTTGATGAATCACAACAAATTCAAAACCAATTGAATAGGAGTAAAAAATTCAGAAGTCATTAAAAACAAATTAAATTCAGGAACAGGTAACTCCTAAATCAATCAACAGACCTTGAGAGCAGACTCCCAGCGTAAGGCGGTAATGCGCTCGTGAAGGGCTTCAAGCACCGTTCTGGGCAGCAGCTTCTTCGCATTACCCTTCTTCTTTTCAATGACAGCTTTGGTGGCCTCCCTTCGTAAAATTATGGAAATGGCCTTTTGGGAAGCTATTTTTCTGTTTATTTCCTCTTTTCTCTCTATTGCTTCTCTCTCCTTCAGCTTGGCCCCGTCAAATTTTCTTGAAGTGCGTTCTGTTATGGTGCGTGTATTGTGGTTGCTTCTTTGGTCATTTGAAGGCTGTGGGTCGGATCGATGGGCGGATATGGGTCCGTTTCGGGAGGTCTCGAGGTTTCGCCGCCGGTTGAGCGAAGTTAGGAAGGGGCTAGTGGGCCCGGATAGGGAGGCCATTGTTTTGAGACCAGTGAGAACTCCGGTATGGAGGATGAGGTTTGTAGTTAAATGAAGGAAAATTAGATGAGGCAGGAGGTAGCCATTCTTCAATATCTGATTGTACGAAAGGCTTTTTGACCAATTTCAAA